AAAAGAAATTATAGAAATTAATACTTTTATTTAGCAAGGATGCTTAAAATTGATCAAAAGTGACGATAAAGGCATTTATAATGTTACAAAACATATCTCTATATCAGATAAAAAGTGTTCATATCGATATCGGAATTGTATCGTATCGACCAAAATTAAGAAATATATCGTGATATATATTTTGTCCATATCGTCCAGCCCTAGTTTGCAGTGAGACGCATGTTTGTGCTCGTGCTCAGTGCTGCTGCTCTCTCTCTGAAGGTGGTTTGCGATGAGAACGGCTCTAAAGGATACGGCTTTGTGCACTTTGAGACCCATGAGGCCGCAGAAAGAGCCATTGAGAAAATGAACGGCATGTTGCTCAATGACCGCAAAGTGTAAGTGTGTGTTTGAATTAACCGCATTTGTACTAAACTGTGTTTGGTTTGGAGTGAAGCGTGATAAATGTGTCTCAAACATCATGTACTGCCTTATGCATGCGGGTTTAGTGAAAACAAAACACTTATTTTATTAACGTCTAATAATTTCCCAACAGAAATGCTGTAGCAGTTATCAAGTTGAAAGATTTTATGTAACTTGTATTGTTTTTATTTGTGTATTTTTTTGTGAGAATGTAGCATTTGATGTTGATCTGATGTTGATTGATTAAAAATGATAAATACTCTTAAAAATACTGAAACTTATTGCATCTTGAAGGTTCGTCGGTCGCTTCAAGTCTCGTAAGGAGCGTGAGGCAGAGATGGGCGCTCGCGCCAAAGAGTTCACAAATGTTTACATCAAGAACTTCGGAGAAGATATGGATGATGAGAAGCTGAAGGAAGTTTTCAACAAATTTGGTGAGTTTTATTTGTTTTTGCATTTCTTTATGTATTTATATACATTTTATTTTATATACTTTTATTTATATTTTTACATTTATTTGTAATTATATTATATTGGACTTATTTTTTTTATATATATATATATTTTTTTTTAATGTATTTATTATATATCATTTGATACTTTTTAAATCTATGCACGTGTATATATAAATCAATTGTTTTTTTATTTTCATTTAAATTTAATTTTTTAAAAAGTCTTTAGTTTTTATTAATTCTGTTTTAGTTAAGTACAAAATAAAAAATGTAATAATGTTGCCTTGGCAACTAGCTGAAATAGTTTTTTATATATATATAAATATACTGTATATAGGCTACACTACCGGTCAAAAGTTTAGGATCAGTACGGTTTTTAATGTTTTTAAAAGAAGTCTCTTCTGCTCAAGGCTGCATTTATT